TGAATGCAATTCACAAGCTCTTGATTCAATTTGATTCTGATTCATAAGCTCTTGATTCAGTTTGATTCTGATTTACAAGTTCTTGATTCATTTTAATTCTGATTTACAATTTCTTGATTCAATTTGATTCAGATTCATAAACTCTTTTCGATTCAATATCAATTTATTTGCAAATGTATCAGGTACATGTCAATTTTTCTTAGGAAAAAAATCTCTCTCAACTAAGGTGTTTTTTTCTGATTTATTTCTATTTATTTTGAGATGAGTAACATTAAAATTGCACATTAGGCAGTTGTTTTAATGGTATATGCAATTATATATGCTATTATGTTTCAATCTTCAGATAAGTTTAATGTAAGTATCAAGAGTATTGTCAGATTTCACAATTCAACTTTATTTTGATTCACAAGCTCTTGATTCAATTTAGTTCTGATCTCGATTCAATATGAATTAATTTGGAAATATATCAAATACATGTCAATTTTCTTTAAGGAAAAAACCTCACCTAAACCTGCTTATGATTTTTTACATACAATAATTAACACTAAAAATACCATAACAATTGCAGATAAGGCGGTTTTTTTATATTTATTAATGTATTATGTTTCAACTCTGTTATGTTTCATGCAAATATTAAGAATATTGACACAGATTTCACAATTCAATTTGATTTACAAGCTCTTGATTTGATTTGATTCCAATCTCAATTTGATTCAATATTGATTAATTTGTATCAGGTACAGTAGAAAAAAACTAAAGCAGATATTTTTTCTGATTTATTGCTATAGTTATTGCTAATTATTTAGATGTAACAATTAACACTCAAAAACTGATAATTAACATTTAAATAGCACATAAGGCAGGTTTTATATTCTATTTATATTCTAATTTGTTGTTGAAATATAAACATTTATTCAGTGGCTGCAATTGAAATCATTAACAGATTAAGTAAAAATATAATGAATATGTAATAGTGCATATATTTATCAAAATGCTCCTCTGTGGAATATTTCTGAGGTAAATATGATGTTACATGACATTACAAGCTGTTTTATTTACACAGTATCTTTCAGCGGTTGAAACAGATTTCATAGTAAATTCAGTAAGTTGTTCTGTTTTTTCAACACCTTCTGACCAAATGTTTATTTGGTGCTGTAACTAGTGGTAAAGACGTAGAGATGATCGTTCACGTCTACAATGATCTGTCAAGCCACATTAAAGAGCGTCAAAACTGCATTTATTTTCAAAAAATTCTCAGAACTTGAAAGATGAGCCTTTGTTTCATATCAAAGCACAAAGCTTATTGTGATGTTTAGTGAAGTTTGGTTCTTGAATCAACCGACAACAGTATCAATCTTGGGATTTAAGAATCAATATCTTCATTAAATGAAGCTTGATTAGTCAATATTGTCAACTGAGCCCTTGTATCATCTTTATCTCAAATGTTTCTCCTGTAAGAGACCAAAATGTGTCACTAGTTGATAAAATTAATGTGAAGTGCAGCTCATCAATCATTTGATGAGAAATGTGAGTTTATTCTGAGACTTTTGATTGAGACATTGCTGAGATTCTTGCAAAACTCTGTAGGAGACACGTGTATGATTATGTCCTTTTTCTCAGGGGAAACATCTGAGACACAGGAGACTGAATCTCCATTTAATCTGGAAGTTAAGTATTAAACAGATCTCATTGGAGATGTTTCTTTCCCATGAATAATAAAACAGCTGAAATTCACATTAACAAACATCTTTCTGTGTTTATTTCTCCCGAGAGCTTGTCTTTGTGATGTCCAGTGTTGTTCCCAAAACTGTAAATTCACTATTCTCTTTCCCCTCAGGAAAGACACACACACGCACACGCACACTATAAAAAACGTCTTGCATCTGAGTGTTTTTCTTTCTCGAGGCTTTTTCATGTGTCTCTTACGGTTTGTTCAGACCAGCAGCAAAAATGTTTTGGTGTGTCCAACTCAAATGCGTTTATTTTTCTGTGGTCTAAACAGCAAAAACTCACCAAATGCAACTTTCACAAACCCCATCCAAGCCACATTCACAGGTCATTTCATATCCAATTAACATCTGATCCGATGTGGTCTGAGCGTCTGATCGGATTTCAAATTTATTTTCCCTTCATTCAGAGTGTGACCAATATGTAACCTCACAAAAAGTGTTCATTAATGACTCTATACATTCTTTCCCTATATATTAACCTATGAAGCATCTGCTGTTTAGTGAATTATTGAGGGATTTCAGACATTGCATTATGCATGAATGTGTAAAATACAGTAATGCAAATTCTCATGAGTTCAGTACCAAAATGTGCAGTTCTTTCTTAATAGTTTTATCTTGTTTTCCAGTACAAATATTGAATAATTCTTAAATCAAGATATATTTACTTGAGATGTGCAATGACAAACAACACAAAGATGTCTTCTTTAAGAAAAAAATATCCTAATTAATTGTGTTTATGCTTAACAACAACAACAAATCTGATTTAAGATATTATGTTTAGATACAGTATTTGTCCTGAAAAACAAGACATAAATACTGAGGAAGAAAATCAGTTTCTGCCTTGTGTCAAAATGTCAAACACAAAAAGAGGCAAAATCTTGCCTTTCCACAATCACAGCTGCTCTTAATTAAACAGAGAACATGTCTTATAATTGTTCTGACACGTTATAAATATAAACTCATCACATTTTTATGATTAAACTTTTTTTTAATTCTATTATTTATTAGCTTGTGAACCCAATTTTTAGACTATAGGTGTGTGTGTTAGGGATGCACCGATACCGATACTGGTCTCCTGTACTCGTACTCGTTAAAATGCCCCGATACCAAACGCCGATACCACACAGCATGTGTTAAGTGCCATATTCAAACAAAGAAACACAGACAACAGACAGCAGAAAGGAGTTAAGGATGTCTACTACGAAGTATATGTATGCAATGAATATAATGTTAAACATTCAGTGTTAACGCCTGTATAGCTGATGTGTGCGAGCTGATAAACAAAGCACGCTGAGTGGATTGAGCATGCGGCGGCGCAGATGCGCGAGCTTGTCAAGTGAATATATCTTTCTCACAGACATCACTGGAAAGTTTGTAGTTCAGTCGGATATGTCAAAAACAAGTAAGTAAAACAATGCACAAGTTACTTTCTCTGAGCTCTTCAGGCAGTTCCTTTGACCTCATGATTCTCATTTGCTCTGACATGCACTGTGAGCTGTAAGGTCTTATATAGACAGGTGTGTGGCTTTCCTAATCAAGTCCAATCAGTATAATCAAACACAGCTGGACTCAAATGAAGGTGTAGAACCATCTCAAGGATGATCAGAAGAAATGGACAGCACCTGAGTTAAATATATGAGTGTCACAGCAAAGGGTCTGAATACTTAGGACCATGTGATATTTCAGTTTTTCTTTTTTAATAAATCTGCAAAAATGTCAACAATTCTGTGTTTTTCTGTCAATATGGGGTGCTGTGTGTACATTAATGAGGAAAAAAAATTTACTTAAATGATTTTAGCAAATGGCTGCAATATAACAAAGAGTGAAAAATTGAAGGGGGTCTGAATACTTTTCGTACCCACTGTATACTTACACAATCACACAATACAGTACACTTATCTAAAAATCCCAAACATCAATATTTTCCAATGAGGTCAGAAATATAAACTTAAATTCAAATAAATTCAAAGGGAAAACAAAGTTTATTTTTCTAACCCTATTTGGCAACATTCAACATCATTTTGCATCTCAAGTATCTTGATTTATGTATATTTAAATTTAATTAATGGAAAAATTTATAATTTAGTAAATTTAATGAAATCATAAAAATGTAAAATTAAAAACTTACAGCAAAAAGAAAAAATATTCAAAGGGATAGTTCACCCAAAAATGAAAATCCTATCATTAATTACTCACCCTTTTGTCGTTCCAAACCTGTAAGACCTTTGTTCACCTTCAGAACACAAATTAAGATATTTTTGATAAATTCTGAGAGCTCCAAGACCCTCCCATATACAGCAAGGATCCTAACACGATGAAGGCTCAGAAACGTAGCAAGGACATCGTTGGAGTAATCCATGTGACATCAGTGGTTCAACTGTAATTTTATGAAGATACGATAATACTTTTTGTTAGCAAAGAAAGCAAAAATAACAACTTTATTCAACAATTCGTCTCCTCCGCATCACCCTATAGTGCCATTTTGGAGAGAATCACATACGTAAACAACGCATGTACGCGGATACGTTTTTTACATTCAGATCAAAGCGTAGACAATGTATCTGCGTACGGTGCTGCTGACACCGAAAAGCATATGTTGTTTACGTATGTGATACTCTCCAAAATGGTCGCTAAAGGGTGACGCGGATGAGACAAATTGTTGAATAAAGTCGTTATTTTTGTTTTCTTTGCGAACAAAAATTATTCTCGTAGCTTCGTAAAATTACGGTTGAACCACTGATGTCACATGGATTATTTTAATGATGTCCTTGCTACGTTTCTGAGCCTTGATCGTGGTAGCTACAGGTATCCTTGCTGTCTATGGGAGGGTCTGAGAACTCTCGGAATTCATCAAAAATATCTTAATTTGTGTTCCGAAGATGAACAAAGGTCTTACAGGTTTGGAAAGACATGAGGGTGAGTAATTAATGGCAGAATTTTCATTTTTGGGTGAACTATCCCTTTAATTTGTTTTCCTGCATGTCAGGTGACCATTAACCAACATCAAAGTACCGTGAGAATGCAAAAGTTTTGTCATATTTTAGAAATATTAACTTAAAATCTCAGGGGTAGTGAAACTGAATGAATTCAGGTGACAAAAATGTTTGAGTGTCCATTATATATAATATAGAAATCGAAGGCAAATACAACAATTATTGACCTCAAACAGATCAGATTTCATCATCTACAATTTGATGGTGCAGACAGTCTCTGTTCAGATAGTATACGGTACTATATACAGTACATCCTAACAAACAGGAAATAACTCACCGTTCTTCTCTGCGTGTGGTTTGATGACTTCCTGTCCTGGCAGGCAGGGACACGGACCCTCACACTTCACAGAGATGCTCTTGCTCGAGCTGCAGGCCTGGAACTCAAGTTTACACTGTGGAAGAGCAGAGAGGATTCTGGGTAGTGCATTTGGAGACATTATCGCATTTAACCGTCACAGCCCGAGCGTTGAGCTTTATCACTCGTGAAATGAGTCCGTTTCCTCAGCCAGGAGAAAAATACGAGTTATCAAATTAAGATGACAAGATTTGAGTTCCTTTGAAGTGAGGCGATTGTGTTCGTCAGATCTGATCACACAGAAACAGTATAAAATCTGCTGTGTTCTTTGGCTTTTAATTAAAGATGATGTCATGATTAGACTATCAGACTATAGCGCTTAATCAAGTGAAATACTTCATTATTTATCAAAGCAGAATCAATTAAAGGGGTCATATGATGCGATTTCAATTTTTCCTTTCTCTTTGGAGTGTTACAAGCTCTTGGTGCATAAAGAAGATCTGTAAAGTTGCAAAGACTAAAGTCTCAAATCCAAAGAGATATTCTTTATAAAAGTTAAGAGTCAGCCACGCCTACCTAAAACGGCTCGTTCTAACACGCCCCCACGTCTACGTCACGATGTGGGAAGATTTGCATAACGCCGCCCAAATGTTCACGCAAAGAAAGAAGGCGTAACTTTATTCTCGCTGTAGTTTTGTTGTTGCCACCGCTGCCATGTTGTGAAGATGCTGTGTGTTTCGTTGTGAAAGTGAAACTTAAACAGCAGACAGTCCCGTTGATTAATATCGAGACATCAGAATGTTGAAAATGTGAGCTTATGGAATAGAAAGAGTTTGTCACCACTTATTAAAGGAATAGTTAACCCAAAATTAAAAATTTGCTGAAATGTCCTCACTCTCAGGTCATGCAAAATGTAGATGAGTTTGTGTCTTCATTCTGCAGTGAATGGGTGCCATCAGAATGAGAGTCCAAACAGCTGATAAAAACATCACAATAATCCACATGAAGTGATTCACATGAATCCAGTCCATCAATTAATGTCTTGTGAAGTGAAAAGCTGCATGTTTGTAAGAGACAATGGCGTCATTAAGATGCTTTTAACTTAAACTCTAGCATCTGGAAAAAATATGAGTCTATAATCCATAATAAATGAACTATTCCTTTAAGGCCATTTGCTACTGTGCTACAAATAATTCCATAATGATGGAGAATAAAGAGAAATAAGTAAATAAATATGTGACATGGCTGTGGTGCTTTATTTACTTTTTTCATCCTGATGAGTGTTTAAACCTTCCAATAACCTTTAAAACCTCAACAATAGACTCACCTGAACAACACACGGCATTCAAACATTGTTTGTGTGCATATCAATGAACAATAATCTGCCAGTTTCAGACTTGCATCTTATTTTACCACTGAAAGGGTCTTTTGTTCAATAAAGAGTCTGTTCAGTGCTTCAGATCAACACAAATGAATTCAGAGAAAGAAGTGAATCACATCTGTCAAGGAAAACGTTAGAGATCAATGCTTTCTGACATACTCCATTTTATAATACATGCAAACAACATGAAACAGCTTTTACAACCCATTTTATTTTCATAATGTGACCTGAATGTGACTTCATCCATTCAGATAGCATAGATAGTAAATAATATACTAGAAAACCAGATAGTAAATAAATACAGTATAAACAAGTCTGTATCGGGGTAATTATAAATGTTTGTTTTTTATGTTATTTTTTATACTGGTAGTTTTAGTTTTAATAGTGCAGAAAGCTTTGATTTTGGTTTTATCTTGTGAAATTTACTGTCATTTGTCTGAAAATACTCTGTCAGGGGATGGTTTTGTTTATGATATTTTTTCTCTGTACATTTGTTTCTACTGATTGTACATTTATTCATCCATCTATCTAGATGTAAAGTAGTTTAATAAAAGAAATACATTACAAAACAAATATGTATCATATATACAGTGGGTACGGAAAGTATTCAGACCCCCTTACATTTTTCACTCTTTGTTAAATTGCAGCCATTTGCTAAAATCATTTAAGTTAATTTTTTTCCTCATTAATGTACACACAGCACCCCATATTGACAGAAAAACACAGAATTGTTGACATTTTTGCAGATTTATTAAAAAAGAAAAACTGAAATATGTTAGTTTTTAGTGGTTCATAGAGCTTTAATATTATATTTCATATGCTGGTTTTCTATTTCAGTCTAGTTTTTATTTTTCCACTTTAAACTGGTGCACATAGCTTTTTTTCTCCTTTGTTTTTTTAACTGGTGTATAGAGCTTTAATATTGGTATTTTATATTCTTTTATTTTTTATGCTGATTTTTCATTTCAGTCTAGTTTCAGTTTGTTTTAATGGTGCATAAAGATTTAATTTTGGTTTTGTCTTATGAAAATTACCATCATTTGTCTGAACATAATTAGACCATGGATGTTTCTGTTTATGATAATTATTCTAAATATAGTGTTACTGATTCTACAGCTGAAAATATCAGAACAGCCATTCACATATCTACCGCGTTCATGCGCTGTTCATTTCTCTGCTCTATCTGTTCAGACCAAGTCTCTCTCTCACTCCATCTCTCACATCTGATTTCATTTTAGTTGAAGGGAAGGAAATGGTGTGGGTGGGGTTAAAGTGGTGCGGTCACAGATGGGAGGCACAGGTAGTGCTCGAGGTTCAGGTTTTTTTCTCTGTTCTCGAGCCGGAGGGGGGATTGCGCAGGACTCAAGAATCCAATATCAACAGAGGACACAGTTCATCCACCTAACCATCTATCACCCAACACTGCATCATTTACAACAGCAGAGAGAGAGCTGTGCGCTGATATTGGAATTTAAAGGTGACTCTCTCCTCGTTGGGACACAATGATCCTGCGCCTGATAGTGTTCAGGTTAAATTCCTCTGATCAGATTTATCTCACCTGAACCTCAACACAAACACACTTTACATTTAATCAAACACGGAAATTAGTCACAATTAGTTAGTGTGATATTGTTTCGATTATGAAACCCTTTTCCTGCCCTTCTGATATTCTGCCTTCACATATTTTTAAAGAGGCTTTTACAGTTGAGTCCAATCGTGACTTCTATTATTAATAGTTCTCTAGTCAATGGGAGGGTTCCAGACACTTTAAACATGCTATAGCACAATCCCTGTTGAAAAAGCATCATCTTGATCAGTATCTTATGAATAAGTACAGACCCATTTCTAAACTATCTTTTATTTCAAAAGTCCTGGATAAATGTGTCTACTCTCAGATTTAATCTTACCTGAACGTTTTTGGTATTTTTGATTATTTTCAGTCTGGTTTCAGGAAGTGACACAGTACTGAATCTGCGTTGCTGAAGTTTACCAATGACATTTTACTCACTTTTGACTCTGGTTGAGCTGCATTTTAATCCTGCTTGATGTAAGTGCAGCATTTGACACAGTAGATCACGATATCCTTTTACAAAAACTCAATCATGTAGCTGGGTTTCAGGGGTCTGTGCTTGAGTGGTTTGCCTCTTACCTCAAGGGGAGAACATTTTCTGTTAATGTAGGGGAATGTTTCTCATCTTGTGCTCAAATCTCTTATGGTGTTCCGCAGGGTTCCATTTTAGGTCCTCTTCTTTTTGCATTATATATGCTTCCTCTAGGTCAGGGGTGTCCAATCTCGGTCCTGGAGGGCCAGTGTCCTGCAGAGTTTAGCTCCAACCCCAATTAGACACACCTGAACAAGCAACCGGCCCTCCAGGACTGAGTTTGGGCACCCCTGCTCTAGGTCATATTTTTCAGAGACACAACTTATCCTATTATTTCTATGCTGACGACACTCAGCTTTATCTTCCTGTTAAAGATAACAGCTGTTCTGTGTCCAGTTTGTTTGATTGTCTGCATGACATAAAATGTTGGATGGGTGTGAATTTTTTACAGCTAAACAATGACAAAAATAATTATCTTTGGCCCATCGGTTCTGACCTCTGACATTGTCAATCACCTTGGTCCCCTCTTCTCTAATGTAAGTGACTGTGTTATTTTTTATCCCACTTTGTGTTTAAAAACAGATTAGCGCTGTCATGAAAAGCAATTTCTTTTTGAAAGTTGCTCTTTGTTTTTAAAGCTTTGCATAGACTTGCACCTCAGTATATTTGCTTCTTTCTCAACCCATATACTATGCTAAAATGCTGGTAAAGCAAAATGTTTACAAACATGATGATAAACAAAGTTATTAGTTTCCTTCTCTCCACAACAAATCCTCTAAAGTTAAGGCTATGTGTTTAGGCTATAAAAACATCAATCCAAAAACAAATTAATTTAAGGTGACACTGATGCCTACCTCGATTGGTACGAATCCAAATGTTTCCATATTCACAACGTATCTGGATTCCAAAATATTATTTATTATGTAATAGGCTTTGTACTTCACTTGCATCGACATCATCCTTCACATCGGCTATATCAGCACAGTGAGGCAGTGGTCATGCTGAACGCAACCGATTGTACAACTGAGCAGTGCAACTTTTTATGTTTCTTTAACTGTATTTTATTTTGATAAGGAACAGGCTGCAATGTCGCAAAATATGTTGTGTCTGTGTGCGCGCGAGGAGCCGCCGAGATATCATACCAATGCTGGTTGGTTATACAGATAGAAGCATAACATTATTCAAAACTGTCAAGATTTGAAAAAATAAATACAACTGTAAAATAAAGAAAACTGTAAAGCTTTTGCAAAATAAAGAAAATGATTTTCTGCTGTCTCGTTTTCCTTTCCGTGAACTTTGGATTGCATCACAATAAATTATTTCATTTTGTTAATCTGTCAATGATTTAAGTGAAATACATTTCATGTATAGGCCAATATAGGCTATTCCTTTTTTATTTATTATGTAATAGGCTTTGTACTTCACTTGCATCGACATCATCCTTCACATCGGCTATATCAGCACAGTGAGGCAGTGGTCATGCTGAACGCAACCGATTGTACAACTGAGCAGTGCAACTTTTTATGTTTCTTTAACTGTATTTTATTTTGATAAGGAACAGGCTGCAATGTCACAAAATATGTTGTGTCTGTGTGTGCGCGAGGAGCCGGCGAGATATCATACCAATGCTGGTTGGTTATACAGATAGAAGCATAACATTATTCAAAACTGTCAAGATTTGAAAAAATAAATACAACTGTAAAATAAAGAAAACTGTAAAGCTTTTGCAAAATAAAGAAAATTATTTTCTGCTGTCTCGTTTTCCTTTCCGTGAACTTTGGATTGCATCACAATAAATTATTTCATTTTGTTAATCTGTCAATGATTTAAGTGAAATACATTTCATGTATAGGCCAATATAGGCTATTCCTTTTTGTGTAAGCCTATAGTTTTATTCTGTTGTCTCTGTTCACAAGCGCTGCAGGTGTGCGTGATCTGTTGAATCCATCTTACACTATCTTCGGATAAACTTTAATGCATTGCCATTGCGACTTACCTATGATGAATTTACAGCTGAGCACGGGCTTTTCACGGGCTGGATGCTTCACATTTGCATAGGCCGTACTACTTGAATTCCTGATTGGTTGACAGCAAATTTCAAATATTAAATGGAACAATAAAATAACGTTATTAACCGGTTAATGGCCATGTAAAATTTTCTATTCTGTTCGGAACTATAAAATCTGATTTAGTTTCTGTCAAAATTTCATTCGTTTCCGGTTTTCATTTTCGTTCCTTGAACCGGTTCAGAGCCCTGGTTTTGAACATTGTCTAGTCTTTTATTTTGTTTTAATTCTGTTTTATTTTGTTTAAGAGATTGAGGTGCTTTGTTGTTGGATGTAATAATGAACATAGCAGTTGTCATTTACTCTTGAAGTTGCAGTTAATTACTTTTAATTTTGAAGGGAATGCACCCCCCATCTACCTAAATACATCTATGTTCGCGCGAATCATTCGTGATCCAGCCTCACCTACAGAAGGTTCTTTTATGAATCTTTGCAAATCGCCTTTCCTAATAACGTGCTAGTTATCAAGCTCCGCTGCTAAATGCGGCTAAAGTTAACAGTCTCATGAGGACGGCTCGTCACCCCACGGAAGAGAGGGGTGGGGTGAGCAGAGTTCATTAGCATTTAAAGAAACATGCACTAAAACGGGTTGCTGTATGCAGAGCTGTTTTTGGCACGGTAAAAAGGGTGTTGTTTTACACTCCCATTAAGAAATTTTAACCAAAGTATGTTAGACTTTTCATTAAGACCCTAAAGAATCATATCAACTTGTGGAAAATGGGCATTCGATGACCCCTTTAAACTAAAATAAATTAAACTAAACTAAACTAAACTAAGTTCTTATTGGTAAGTCATGGGATCAGCTCATTCAACTCAATGTAAACAGTGATAAATATCTCACCTTTGAGGAGTATGTGTGTCCGTCTGAGCCGCACACTAGGCTGGAGTGAACTACAGGACATGGCCTACATTTCCCATGATTCACAGCTCCCATCCAACGCTTATGAGGGGGATTTCCTTTCCTGGGTTTAATGCTACAAAGAGAACGAGAGAAAATTAGTGAGGAATGTCAGAAATATAGGCTTTTTTTTTGTTTTGCTTTTGTTGGGCCCTATGATTTCTGTAATGTGGAAAACGTGGATGGCATCGTGGAATCCAGGCATAGACTGAATGTCACAGAATTTGGCAAAAAAACAAACAAACATCAAATCATGATGTGGACTAGTGTCTGTGAATATTAAAATGCAAAATGACAGCAATGAATATGAAATCAGCATGTTCTGAATGAGAAATATATTACTAGTGTATAGTAGTATGTACTTTTCAGTAAAACTGGAGTTTCGGGATGTTAAACGTGTTATTTAGCTCCTGATTGGGAATCCTACAGTAAGACTATGACTTATGCAATGTATATTATAAAAATAAAGCAATTAAATGTCTTTTAAATTATATTTGACATCATCTGATTCAATAAATGGCCAAATTAAAGATTTATCTTGTGTAGTATGATAACGGATCTGATTACCCTGCAAAACTAACCTGCCGTCCTGTATTCCCTACAGTTGGTAGCTCATCAATTAGCGTACTAAGTTAGTTCTGATTACCTGCAGCCTTGTGCCAATGGCCCAGGAAAGATGTGAGCGACATTACAAACAGCTAATTCTTGAATCCGAAAGGGATTTTAACAAGGAGATGAAATCTTACACAACACCGGCTGATCAGATATCACACACATACACATACTGGAGATAAGAAAGTGACAAAAGATGTCTGTAATGTCACTTCTGTTCACACTCAAAATGTCAATATCTCAGAGAAAGCGTGAAGTGTGATCATCTGACGGTGATAAACAAACATGATCTCTGTCTGTATCTCATGGCTGACAGAAGCACTTTAACAGATCAGTGACAATATCAGAGATTTGATAAACGGCTGTATGTTTGTGGCACTTTTTGAAAGAAGACTTTTAAGCTCACCAAGGCTACATTTATTTGATCCGAAAAATTGCAAAAATATTATTACAATTTAAAGTAACTGTTTTCTATGTGATTTTGTAAAATGTAATTTCTTCCTCTGATGCAAAGCTGAATTTTCAGCATCATTACTCCAGTCTTCAGTGTCACATGATCCTTCAGAAATCATTCACATAATCATCACACATAAACATAGTTTTGTGGAAACATTGTGATACATTTTATTTTTCAGGATTCTTTGTCAAATGGAAAGTTCAAAAGAACAGCATTTAACAAAAATCTTTTGTAACCTTATAAATGTCTTTAATGTCACTTTTTTTAATCAATTTAATGCAGCCTTGATGAATAAGTGTATTCATTAAAAATGAAAAAATCAAATCTAAATTATACATATAAAATCACTTTTGTCTCCCATTTTGGTGTTTGCATCAAAATACATTTTAAAAAGTGATTTTATATACATAGAAAGCAAAGTAAAAGTTCTACTTTAATGTTTCAAATAACTTGTGAAAATAAAATATGGATGAAATAATGCTCCATTGTTATTCAGTGTGACATATATTTACGGAGAAATGAAACAACATTCTGAGCTGTACTTATTAAAATATATCAAAGTAAAAGTGATCATACTAAAGTTTATATAGTTTAATTTTATGATAGTCATAATTTTTTTGCTCTGGAAAAAATAAAGAGGACACATTCTAACGTACGGGGGGAAAAGAAACAGAAAAAGAAAAAACAAATCTGTATTAGTCGTTTATTGTGTCATCTATGAGCCATTGCAAATTTTATTTATCACAGTGGTGTGCACGGGGGGCCTCGAGCCCCTGCCCCTTTGAGGTCTGACGCTAAAGTGCCCTTGCGGTCTGGTCTACGCGCCCCCGGTCCGCGATTTCTGCCGAGGGTAGGGGTGTGCGATATGAAGATTTTTGAACGTGGACGATAAAAATGTCTCCACGATCTGCTTTTGCAAGGAAATGTTGTATCGTGCTACAGCGCACAATCTGTCAGCTGCAGTTCTGACGCCGCCGAATCAATATACTGCACGACGCGACATACATTAACATCAGTGCATTAACATTAGGGGGTTGCAACTGGTCGCACTGGGCCCCGCGGCGAACGGACCAAGGTGGAACCCCCCCCCGGAACGCAAATGGACCGAGGGGGACCCCACTCCCTACCTCGCACCGGGCCCCGCGGCAGCTAAGGACAGCCCTGGTGTTAACTCAGCGGTAGAGTTACTCACAGGACACTGCACTTATTCACAATCACAAATGTAAATTTTTTGCATTTGCTTTAAAGCCTTACTGGTTAAACGTTTCATTCGTGTGCTGTTCTGACGAGTGCTTTTTCTGAACATTGACTTTGATTGTAGGAAAAAAAATACTAGGGAAGTCACTGTGGACAAGCAACTGTTTGGTTTTCCACCTTCTTCAAAATAGCGTTTATGTTTAGCAGAAGGAGGAAACTCATTCAGGTTTAAAACAACTTTTGAGAGTAAATGAAGGTATAAAAATAAAACACTAGCCTATTTTAATTTTGGTGTGAATTATTCCTTTAATGTTAACCTCCTGGTGTCGACAGTTCCGCCAGCGGCACTTTTTGCAGATTTGAATGATGACAGCGAAAAGAACTAAAATGCTCCTTCATACTTGACTGTACATATAAGAGTAATACAGCATTTAAATCTGTAAAGGGTCTACTTTTATTTGTGTACACTCACACTATCAACAAAACATTGTGCTTTTGCAAAATAAAGAAAATAAATAGGGTGTGCTTTTAGCCGTCTCATTCTCTGTGCATATCTGTTTGAAACGCGTCACTAAAATGAACTGAAACTCAGCGAATATTTGACCCACACACAGTAGAGATATATCTATAGAAAGCTTAACATGTCTACTTTTAAACTAAGTAAGTCATGACGAAAACAAATATGATGTGACAAAGTAATCAGTATGAATCAGTCTTGGCCGTCGCCTTCATAATCGCTAATGTGACCG